TATTGTGTCTACTCTGTAAGTCGCTTTGGATAAAAGCGTCTGCCAAATGCATAAACATAAACATAAACATAAACATCAGCCGGCTTTCAGGAGACCAAAGCACTCACAGCTGTCCTCGTCATCCTGGAAGACTTTGCTCACGTAGCAGGCGTAGACGAAGCCGAACAGCTGCCGGGGGAAGAGAGGAGGCCGGGAAAAAAGAGAGAAAAACAGGAGCGTTACGCAGAGCTGAGTCACTCCTGGAGTGTGTGGGAACCCGTCCGACGTCGTTTTACGCACAGCCAGGAGGATCTGGAGGGCCGAGCTCAAAACCTCGATGTACTGGTAGTCGAGGAGACACCCCGACACGGTGATGACGTGGTGGTCGTCCGGGGCCAAGCGGGAGTCCAGGACCGGCGTCACCAGGCAACCGGGGCCGTGCTCCATCCACCACGAGCGATGGAGGGACGTGTTGAAAGTCATGAGGAAGTCCCGGTCCTGGAGAGAAACCCAGAGATGGGACCGTTAGCCTCCAACACACAAGGGCAGGAAGGGGGAAACACAAGCCTGGTAGAAGCCAAAGTAGAGGTCTCTACAGGGGAGTTAACTAAATATTACAGTCACCAAGTGACCAGCGAGGCTGCAACAGGATTCAGGAAGTGCAGGCGTCCAGCAGGCAGAGATTAGAACAAAACAGCCACAAGTAAACTCAGATTTAGGTAAAGAAAAAGTCAGAAAAGTGTCTGTCATGGGAACAAAAAGGTCCTCAGCAGGGTCCCAACCAGAGCAGCTAACTGGACTCTCTTCCTTCCCCATAGTCTTGTGCTTTCTCGTCCCCCTTCTCTCTCCTCTCCCCTCTTATCACTTTCTGCAGATGTTCCTGGCTCTGGATCTGTGGTTGGGAGTTTCCTGCTGCCCCCGTGCTCCTGCTCTGCTACTACTCTGCATTGTGTTATTGGTGTCATAACTTCTACCATTGTCATTAGTATTAATATCATTGCCATTTTTCATCTAGTCTACATGTTGCTGTGTAGGCTGCCTCTCTCTGCTCCCTCTGTCCTTCTCTCTCTCTTGCCCTCTTTCCCCTCACCCCCAACCGGCCGAGGCAGATGGCCGCCCACCCTGAGCCATGGTTCTGCTCCAGGTTTCTGCCTGTTAAAAGGAAGTTTTTCCTTGCCTGTGTCACCTAGTGCTTGCTCATGGTGGGAATTGTTGGGTTTCTGTAAATAACTTCAGAGTAGGGTCTGACCTGCTCTGTTTTGAAAGCGCTGTGAGACGACTGTTGTTGTGATGTGGCGCTATATAAATAAAATCTAATTGAATTGAAGCAGCGCTCACCTGAGACAGGCTCCCGACCTCCAGGTAGAAACAAATGATGAAGGAGTTCCAGCCCACCCAGAGGACCAGCCATACTGCATACTGTGTGTGTGGGGGGGGGGACAAGAGGGAGCAGGTTAGCTTGGGGCCGGCTTTGAGTCAGGCCGGGAAAAAGATGGCGGAACTCACAAAGATGAGGTATCTGAAGCGGAACTGCACGGTGCCGAACATGCCCAGGATCACAGCCATGATGTGCAGGAAGTTGGCCAGAATAGGAGCCCACTGGTAGCCCAGGAAATCAAACACCTGCCTCTGGAGGGCTGCGACCTGGGGTCACGTGACAGGAGGGGAAACGGGGGAGGGGGGGGGGCATAAACACAGAGATCCATCAATGAGAGAAGAGATTAAACATATGTGAGGGGTGACCAAAAACAAGCACTTAGTCAAAGACACACACACACACACACACGCACATACTCGCACGCACGCGCACGGTGACAGGGACACACATGCACAGGTTTGCCGCAGTTGTTTCCATGGAAACTGCCTGGAGCACCAGCCAGTCCAGTGACTGTAAAAGAGGAGCACCCCCTCCAAAAAAAAAA